TAAAAAAAAAAGGAAAAAAAAGGAAATGGAGATTATATTGTGACACATTTTTTGGACCACTTTCCTTTGCTGTTTACAATAGCAATGTTTTAACCTACAACACCTCCAAGGAACTTTCTATTAAAATGAGCAGCAGTCTGTCCAGTAAAAGTCTTGCTTTTTAAAAAAAAAGATGCTTAATCTCCCAATTAACCCTTCTATATCTCTGCGGATTACACCATCAGCCCCTCTGCCTTTGATCCTTTTTTTTACCTCATGTCCAATTCCAGCTACAGGATACTGTCCTTGCAGTAAAAGTTGCACTAGAGGTGCCTCCTTTTATATCAGATATCAGAACTTGTTTAGAATTAAATTTAGGCAAAGCAAAAGCAGAAACAGTGGAGGGAGAATCATACTTCCAGGTGGCCTTCACCAAATGGCCTACCAAATGTTCATAAAAAACCGACGTTAGAGAGTGGTAAATGAGATAGGAGAGCGGAAATCCTTGGTATAATGTTGGTATAACATAGGCAAAACAATATGATTTGAGAAAAATTTGATTTTCTTTCATTTCTGTTCATGGTCCCTGATCACTTACATTAAAAACTGCCCCATAGCTAAAAGTAGCTTAGCCTTGAAATGGCTTCATCCCTGAAGAAATAAGAGTCTCATAGTTAAATGATAATGCTGCCCACAGTTCGTTCTAGATGGAGGACATGGAGGGAAGAACCAGGGTTCATTTCTCATCCAGTCCATGTATACGATGTCTTACAGAGTGAGTTTAGCCAGAGGCAGGGGGGCCGGAAGTCACATGATTCAATAAACAATTCCTTCACGTGAACCCCCCCCCGCCTACATTAAAAACCAACAGACCTCTGATTTCCATTCTTCCGTGATCATGAACATCGCAAATGCAGAAGGTGAACCAACACTGTGGTCCAGTAGCGAGGGTCCCCCCTTTCTGTTGGGGCCTCGTTTGTAATGGAAAAAAACCAGGTGGGCTTTTATAGCCGTGTAGGGCTCAGCAGTAGAAAATGGAAAAACCCCCAAAGCGTTGTGAAAGCAGCCCAGCTCACCAAAGGTTTCTACCACAGCTGCCAGTTTACTTTGAGTGCCAGAACCACCGCGACTAGCACCGTCGTCAACCGTGGGAACTGACGAGAACCACTTTGTTGTGGCAAACATTGTGGCAGTGTTTGAGTTTGAGAGTTTCTATTTTCCCCCTGAGTTTCTCTACGTATCTTTAGCTGTTTCTGTCCATGTCAGAAGATCCAAACCCACGGTTACATCCTACCCTGGCCTGTGCACCAGGCCGCAGGGAGGAGGTGTTTCATGATGTGGCTGGGCCAGCGCAGTGTCAGTTGGATTGCTGATCTACTGGCTTTATGGGCAATACGAACTTTTAGAAAAGGATTTTGGGGACTGCCATCACACCAGGAAAACGTCTGGTGGTCCCTGCATAGCCCCCAATACAAATGGACGAAACCGACACGGAAAAGCCTTTGATGTTTTGTTGTACTAGTGCATTACATCAAAATGACAGAATTCAGAAAATAAATAATGGAGTGTGATAGGAGGGGTCATCTATCAGAATAAGAAAGTGTCCTAAGCTGACTCCTCAGTCTTCCACAAGGACCTGCCTTTGTTTGGCCTGCATTTTGCCTGCAATTTATTTATGAAACTTTTTTGTGTCTTGATTCTGTTTCTACCACACTCATTAATAGAAAGGTTTGGGGGAACTTTTAAGAGCAAAGCTTGAACTGATTGAGTTGACGTGCAGTGGCTCTTTATCATTTTACTGCAGTTAATGGAAAGCCTGATTAAATCCTCCATAAACAGATGACCCTTACCCTCACCTCTATCAGAGATTGTACCAATGGCTGCCATTTTGCCACATGTTTTCCCTACTTACAGATTTTACCTTTGTTTTCTGCTTGACCTTTCCTAAATTTCTACTAGCTTTCATCGTTTTAAGCATAAGCCATCCTCACATTGGTCTACCTAATTGTTGTCTGGTGATGACACAGGTGTAAAGGCCTTTGATAACACGACGATTTGTTTAGTCTGCATATGTGTGTGTCTGTTTGCAGGGGATACATGGTCATGGCTGACTCCTTCAATACATCTCTGTTCAAACAAACCTTCCAGAGAGTTTTCACCAAAGACGTACAGGGATCCTTCAAAATGGCCTTTGCTGCCACACAGGAGGTCAAGGTAAAAAAAAACAAACAGAAACAGAACAAATACCAGGGCTCCATATCCAGCAATTGAGACGTTAAAGCTCGTGTTTTTTTTCCGTCGCAGACCTCTCGAGAAATCAAAGTGTCTGGAGCCATTGGACCCTGCGTGTCACTGAACGCCAAAGGGCCCTGCGTCTCTGAGAATGTATGTGACCCCCTCACACATCTGAGCTACTACACTAGCACGTTGTAGCAAAACATTTTTGTAAGGTAGCCTCCCAGTCCACGCCTGCTAACCAAAGCAGTTAACCAAATGATGTAGCTTCAGATTAGAAGTGCAGATGTTCCGTATATGTTCGTTAGACAAATGATCATTTAGATAGGCTAATATCTAATACAATAGGCTAAATAGGCTCTATAATAGGCTTTATGACAGACATACTGCCCTCTATAGGCAGATAGCCCAAGTTTCAATAGACACAATTTGTCAATGTATTTGTTTGATCTGATGGTTTTCCAAAAACATTTAAAAATTCTCTTTTTAAATCCTTTAAATCCAACTTTTTAAACCTTGAAACACTGTTTGTGTTTGTTGCTAGAAGCACGACTACAACATTTTCCTGTCGTCTTAAAGCTGCGATGTGTTTATCATCTATTGTTTCAACTTGTATGTAGTCACTTTATCTCCGGCAGAAACTAATTTACAAATGATGATTGTTTTTCAGGAGATCGGCACGGGAGGAACCTGCCAGTGGAAAATCTGTGGTTTGGATCCAAGCACCACGCTGGCTCTTTATTTCGAGGTGGTCAACCAGGTATGAGCACCCGAACAGCACGGGTTCTAAATTCAGTATGTTCAGTGAATTATTTTGAGCTGTAAAGTCAAATGTCAGGTTATCAATGAACATAGACATGCCCATGTCATGTAGAACAATTTGATGTTTACAATTTTCTCTTGATAGCAGCTGTTCTTACTAGTGTCAACATGTCTGATAAGGTCTGTTTACCTCTGCAGATTGTTCCATAAGAAAAGTGGGTGGTTAATTCAGACATGGAACTAGCTTTCTGCCAGATTAATAGAACCGTTAAGGGGTAAACATAAAGGCAAGCAAACAAAACTCACTCATGCCACATGCTATTCAGGAAATATCCGTTTTATTGATTTATTTCTTTTCCCTTTGTATTTGAACTTTGATTCGTTTGATTTTACCGTTCACTGCTGTGCACCTGGACACCATAACAACAACATTCCAGTAAATCAAAGAGCTTCTAATGCGTATACAGATAGACTTATTTAGTGTCCTATACATGACTCCGTTCTAACACCTGGGGTGATCTCTGTTCTGTTTTTTGTATTTGTAAAGCCGCCTTAAGAAGTCAACCAAGAGAATCCCAATAAGATGCAAACCACTTTAAGTCAAAAGAACCCTGAACATTTTATAATAGTATATGAATGCTAATGTAAAAAATTATCATGGTCAGTCATTTCTTATGAAAGTGGTGAAGCTTTACTGATCCTTGGACTTTTAAATGGGACCACATCTAACATGTCTTACTAGATTTAAATAGATTCAGAGAAAAGGTTTAAATTTGCCTTTGTGTAATAGTATTTGAGGAAATCCTTCCACTTGAAGTCCACCACCATTCACATTTCAAACTATGAGTAATATTAACATGTAAAGTGCTTGAAACCAGATGGGCCTTGTCTCCCAAAACTACATTAGGATGAATATGAAGTTTTTTTGGTCAGGTCAACATGAGCAAACAACATGAAGATATTGCTTAAAAATTACATGAAGACAGGTCCACACTCTTCATCAGCTTTTCAAAGTGAATATTCAGTATCCTGTTACAAGTTTAGTTCCCCATTATCTTTCACATTCGTGAGATATCCTCCAACATGTCAAGTTGAAGGAACCCCAAAAGCCCTAACAGGAGGCCAAGCAGGACTACTCTAATCAGACTGCCAATTCTAGATGTCATTAATTAGCTGTCGGGCTGTTGAATGCCATCTTGCTGTTTAAAAGGGTCTGAGCTGTTGTTTGGGCTGCTGCTAGACTAAATTTATTGTTGGATTCATCTTCACACAAAGCACATGCTCTAGAACCCAACATCTGGAGAGGGTTTCACTTCTTCTCTGAAAGAGTACCTGAGGGAGACGTTTAAGATAAGTAACTAATATTGTTGAACTCCCAGATGAGCAGCAAAGGGTTTCCTACAGTATTCAAAGAGCTGCTACTTACAGGAGGGACATTCCTGTGGTTTGGGCCTATGCACCAAACCCCATCTTACCTGGACTCTCCTACTTGGATTCTCTGAACAGGGCCTTAGAGGGAGTGCCACCAGGGGGTGCCATTGTTTTCCTGGAGGACTTACCATGAGGCTTGGTCCAAAAAATTTCAGCAACGTGGCCTGTAGATTTATTAAGAACTGAATTTTGGATAAGAAAAAATTATTAAGTGTCTGTACAAAATTGAAATGTCATCAGTCCATCTAAAATGCAAAGTTGGAAATAGCTCTTGAGGTGCTCATTGTTAGTGGACGGCGGCAGAAACCAGGTTTTCAGATGGTTTGAAGTCAAATGAGATGGAGAATGTTTCACAGGGTAAGTGGCGGGCGGATTTGACTGCAGCTGGTGTTTTTTCTTCAGCTTGAGGGTCATGCAGAAGCTGCAGCTGTGGGGGTCTGAGCTGACGGGGATCACACAGGTATTGGGGATTTCGGTGACGATGGGGGACTCGCGTCCATTTTAGTTGTGGTTGTGCTGAGTCGATTGGCCGTGCTCAGCTCGAAGACAGAACTCTGGCGATGTGGCTCCGGTGAAGTCCCTGACCACTTCTGAATGAACCGGTCAAAACCTCGACGCACCGCTGCTCTGTACCTGCTGGACTCACAGAGGGGCAGGCGGGCAAAGTTACTCCTAATGGGTCATAATGGAGACCTGTTGCTTCTTCATAACTAATCTAACGCTTAAGGCACACCTATTAGTGCTGCACAATTTGATGAAAATGTGCGATTGCGATTATTGTGGACTATATTGCGATTTGCGATATTATAAATGATGTCATGAGTCTGCGTGCTTGAATATCTAAGACAACACAGAGAATTACAATCATTTCGTCTATTTTTCAACGCGATTGCATAATTGCACAGCATGACATCGCAATTGCGATTAGATTAGATCGCGCAGCACTAACACTTATCATGCACTTTGTGCCGTCTTACTCACGTCTGCGTCATGCAGGTAATCCAGGGGTTTAGGGCGGCGCTGGTCAGAACCAGCCAGGTAGAGAGGGCCGAGGTCACAGCTGGACTCCGCTCTCCGCTGAATGTCTCATATAGACACACTGATATGTATGGCAGCCAGCACACCAGCAAACACACTGCAGTCAAAGAGGACAACGTTATCCTATCAGCAGCAGCCTCACTCAAGCTGTCCAGACACTGACCAGCAGTTAAAGTTAAGGGACTAGTTCAGAAAACCGCACGCCAGGGGTTGGGAGCAAGTTTCACAACTCAATATAGTCTCTGATATTCAGTGTGACTGTATTTAAAACAGGTCAAATTAAATTGAACAAACTATGGAAATTTAAAGTGAACGTCAAATAGAACTGTTTGGCGTGGTTTATAAGACAGTCACCCAGCAGGTACTGGGAACGTTTTACTGTCAAAAGAATAATGACAGTTAAATCAAAGGTCTCAGTCACCAGTTGCATTCACAGGTTATTCAACCTGCTGGACTGGTTCATCTAATGGAACCAGCATCTTTGTCCCACCAGAATCCAGTTATCGACTCAAGTCTGATGCTGAACGTCCAGTTGGAGGTCTGGTTACCCCAGACGGTGTCTATGGGAGATCATGATCCATTTAATTGTCCCAATAGGTGGTTCTGTTAAAGCAGAGGTTCTAAAGATCTGTATTTTTAGTAGCAAACAGCTACAGGCTGAAATGGGCTGGTTTTCAGTGCCAGTTTGGATCCAGATCATTTGTGAATTAGAGCTTCTTTTTTTATTTAACTTCAGAGGGATTCATATTTAACTTTAACTTTATCTGGGTGTGTTTTCTGGTGTCATGAAGCTTGGCTTTGTTTGGTTTCATTCAAGCAACCATGCTGACATGCCTTTTGAAGGCCTGGGTTTGGTTGGCCTAACACAACTTTTGTGCTTTATAGATAAAATATCATTGCAGTCGTTTAACTACTTCCGCTGTCAACGCATCAGCAGCTCATAGAGAGTTGGTGGGTTAACTCCCATGTTATAGCCTCCAGGACAGGATGCTGTATTCCACTGTGTATCCGCCACATGTAGGCCTTTGTTTGGGAAATGGGTGTAAAAAGCACTTTGAGTGGTCAGCTTGACTAGGAAAGTGCTCAACAATCACAAGCGGCCTTCCTTTCTCTAAGGTTTACTGGATTGGTTTCACAAGCTTTACTGTATTTAGTCAGATTTTTGACAAGTCATTGTGCATCCATCTGTCCTGAGTTATTCTGACCCTTGTTACTTTTTCAGTTGGTAAACTATCTAGTTAGACTAAAAAAGAAATTAATGTTAAAAGTGAAAAAAGATTTGGTTAACATTAAGATGTTTTTCCTATACTTAGCCAGAGTTGCCTTGTTCAACTACCAACATTTAAAAAAAACACAGTACCTTTTGATGTTTGTTTTTAAACAGTTTTTTTAAAAATTAACTAATTCAAATCCAGTTTTATTTGAACGTGGCACATGATCACAGGACTGAAGGTGAGCTCACCTGAGGTGGTGACCATGACCACGGAGCTCCTCAGGTAATTGTTGGCAGGAACATAGAAGCAGTGTTGCTCGTTGCACATGAATGTTCCTCTTCTGGCCTGCTTCCTGGCAACATTAACGATGTATCCGTACAGAGAGCACACGACGAGAATGGGGGCCACGATGCTCACCATCACCCACCCCACCACAAAGTAGCTGCTGTCTGGGCAGCAGAGGAACCGTGACTCACTGTAGACATAACTGCCGAAGCCCACCAGTGGCAGGGAGGCGTTCGCAAAGCTGTAGAGCCAGACCAGGACCAGCGCCAACTGGCTCCTCCTTTTCGTCCAGATGCGGCAGTAACTGAGAGCAAAGCAGATCTCGGTGAACTTGTCCACCGTTGCCCAAGTTAGTGACTGGATGGAAGAGGTCTGCAGGAGGAGGAAGATGAAACCGCTGCCCTGACAGAGGGCCACCTGGCTGGAGTAAGCCGCAGGCCAGGACAAGGCGTTGTGGACCCCAAAGGGGATGGTGGAGAGTCCGAGTGCCAGGTCGCTGAGGCTGAAGCTCAGGGTAAAGCCCAGCGTGTCAGAGTGGAGCTCCTTGTTGAGGAGGAGCACCAGGAGGAGGACAAGGTTCCCACACACCGAGGCCACACTGGACAGAGCCAAGAGCCCGGCATAGAGTGTTCTCAGAGCAGCCGCCATGTTTAGACCGACCTGGACAAAGATCTCATCACTGGTCAGACACAGCACCTGAGGGTTCTTTGTGCAGCCACGTCCTCTGGGGCGGACTGAGCATCACTGACCATCAGGGTGTCGGAGGCCATAAGCTTGGGAAACCTCGATTCAAAATCAGAGTAGGTTGTCACTACGGTGATTTATCTCCAACACGTTCCCACTGCTGTTCTTATTAACAGAATAAGAGCATCAATGGATGACTCCTGAGAAAAACTGAACCTGTTTTCACCCTTTTTTTCTGGAAGATATGGAGGGCCAAACTCACAATCTCCTGCTTGATTTCTGACAGTCCACAGGCTGAAAGTCCCAGGTGGTTGTCTCACAAGAGAATGGATCAGCAGGGTTTAAACAAGCTTTCACGAGTCACAGCAGGAAACCAGCAAATGTCAGTGAAAAAGAAATAGCTGAGAGAACCATCCGTTTGGTTTCTATTAACCAAGGAAATGAGTGCCGCGCTCCAAAAGTTCCTCTCAGGCATCAGTGTGGACGCATTGGGGATCCTCTCCATAAAGTGGCTCTATCGACTCCTGCTGTGGCTCAAACGCGCAGAGCCACGTTGTCAGAAATGATCCTGGATCGCGAGTCGTTCAGACGGTAGCAGCTCACCCTTGAACTGAGACCATCCAGCCTAGTCGTCTGACAGATGCATAAAAACAAACCCTGAGTCCTGAAGTTTGATCGGGTCCGATATAAGAGTGTGCTCTCGGACTGATCTGCTCTCGGCGCCAGTCGCTTCACAAAGACTGCGGGGCATGCGTCCTGCTCAGCAGGTGTGTCCCCATGGAGAGGGTTGCCATGGCATACCTGTCAATCACCAGCCGAGATGATGACTGGGACACATTTATGGGCACACATGCACATAAAGCTTTGTGCTGACGGCAAAGTCAATATTACCTGAACCTCCAATATCCTGTGTGTGCGGTTGTGTCCGAATTGACATTTAAACCATATTACTGAGGACATTTCTGTCCCTCCCTTCATGCAGCTCTTACCTTTAGACACACTGACTGACCTATGTGGAACTTTCTGACATTATTCAGAGCAGAACAGGACAGGTTCAGGTCTCCTCTGACCGGGGGTTAACCGGGGTGGTCACTACGACGGGGTGTGCGCTGCAGTATTTGTGTGTATTCAGTAAGCCTGACTCAGGTAATGACAGGTGCGCAGGTGTGCAATCATTACCACAAGATGATTCCTCTAACCACCGAGGGCCGGGCCTGTTGTGTTGGTGTTGGGTGACATCACACGCTCAGAGTGGAGCCGCTTCTCTCCAGAATCATTACCGCTCATAGGTTTATCCGTTACTCTGAGAGCCGCTTCCTCTGTGCTGTTTACATTTTGGACAGTGAACAACGTACTCGGCAGGGAAAGTAGCTGTAGAGAACAAAAGGACCCTCCGATTGGTTCATTTTAGTTCACAGGCATCAGACATATAAACGGAAATCACGATTTGTTCCTCATTTGCTCCGATCAGTCTCATTTGGGGCTTCAGATGCAAATCACAGAACCGAATCAGCGTTTCCTGATCAGATGAAAAGACCAGAATCCTGCATTTCTGTAGCTTTGCAACGTGGTGGAAGCACTCGGGTAATGTTCAGGGTACAGCACACCCATCCCAGCTGGTGGAGGCAGATGGCTCCTCTTTGGTTCTGGTTCTCTTGAAGCTTTCTTCTTGGTTAGGGTTCCGATGGAGTCCCCCCACACACACACAGTTACTTTGTGCACTCTCAGTATGGGAGAAGAAACTGCTGGTTTCCTTAGCAAAGGAGCTTGAATTGGCTCTGTATGGATTGGACTAATTGGGAGTTGAATTAATTGGAATTTATTGGGTTACAATGAACAGGGTTGCATTTGACTTAAATGGAATTGCCTTGAGATGAAATGTATTTCGTAGAATTGAAATTGAACCTCATGAAACTCACTCCTTCCTTTCTTGAAATAACCAGTGCTGTTCTGTTCTGTTGCAAAAAAACATGACCGGTCTCCCCTTCTGTTGTTTTTTGCAGCACAACGCTCCAATTCCTCAAGGCGGCCGTGGGGCAATCCAGTTTGTCACTCAGTATCAGCACTCATCGGGACAGAGACGCATCCGGGTCACCACCACGGCCAGAAAGTACTGCACTCATCTCACACCTGGCCACTTAGAAGCAGGTTTTTTTTTCTCTGCGTATGATACCAGTGTTCATCACTGTGATTTCCCCCTTTCCCCAGCTGGGCTGATGCTCAGACTCAGATCCAGAGCATCGCAGCATCCTTCGACCAGGAAGCGGCGGCCGTCTTGATGGCGAGGCTGGCGGTGTACCGGGCAGAGACGGAGGAGGGGCCGGACGTCCTCAGATGGCTGGACAGGCAGCTAATCCGACTGGTACGAAGACGGAGCTAGAGATTAACCACCTAGCTCACCACCTTCTTATTGCGCGCCCTCCTCCTTCTTTTGTGCAGTGTCAGAAGTTTGGAGACTACCACAAGGATGACCCGAACTCCTTCAGATTCTCCGAGACGTTTTCCCTCTATCCTCAGGTGATCCACGTCCCACAAGTGCTTTGGCCCCCCCCCCCCCAGGCCCCTGTGCTAGGTGAAGAGCGACTAACCCTGTGTGTGCTGCTCCACAGTTCATGTTCCACCTGCGGCGCTCTCCGTTCCTGCAGGTGTTCAACAACAGTCCCGACGAGAGCTCCTACTACAGACATCACTTCAACAGGCAGGACCTGACACAGGCTCTCATTATGATCCAGCCTGTGCTCTACGCATACTCCTTCAGTGGGCCGCCCGAGGTTTGGACCCACCTTCACACACTGGTCTCTTTACATGCGCTCATGGGAGTTAAAAAAAAAAAAATTCAATTCAATTCAATTTTATTTATATAGCGCCACATCACAACAACAGTTGTCTCACAGCGCTTTCCAAACAGAGCAGGTCAGACCCTACTCTGAAGTTAACTACAGAAACCCAACAATTCCCGCCATGAGCAAGCACTAGGCGACACAGGGAAGGAAAAACTTCCTTTTAACAGGCAGAAACCTGGAGCAGAACCATGGCTCAGGGTGGGCGGCCATCTGCCTCGGCCGGTTGGGAGTGAGGGGAAAGAGAGGGCAAGAGAGAGAGAGAGGGCGAGAGAAGGACAGAGGGAGCAGAGAGAGGCAGCCAACACAGTTCAAAATCAACTGATAATTTAAAGAAAAGACTCTTTCTTTGGGCAAAGTTGATTTCCAAAGTGTCTTTTCGGTCAAGTTGGTGTTCACATTCATTCCAGATCCCGCTGCTCACAATCCGAACCATAAAGCACCTCAAACATCTTGTCCAGCCTTTTGCCTCTTGTTTCTACCACTATCAGAGCTCCATCACTGCATTGGTACTAAGGGCATGAGTGTCCACATATGGGATACGGTTCAAACAATATTAGCAGCCGCACTGGCTGCTGTGATGTGGGTGATCTCAGATCCAGGACAGTAAAAGTCTGTGAGCACCTTGAGGTTTTTTTAATGAGGCATGTTCAGAAATGTCTAATATCTGTCTTTTTCTGCGTGTATTTGACTTCTTTTACTGGTACTTGTGACTCTGACGTGCTGTCAGATGCGTAGCGTTGCCGCCTGTTTGTTGCTGAACTATTGTGTCTGTTACAGCCTGTGCTGCTGGACAGCAGCAGCATCCTGCCAGACCGCATTCTGCTGATGGACACCTTCTTCCAGATTCTCATCTACCACGGAGAGGTGCACACTGCACGCAGTTAGTCTCCTTTTCTCACCCGGGTTACAGAGCAAACGGTGTGTGTTTTGAACTTGCTGTGTTTCCGCATCAGACTGTTGCCCAGTGGAGGAAGGCCGGATACCAGGAAATGCCCGAGTACGACAACTTTAAACACCTCCTCCAGGCTCCAGTGGATGACGCCCAAGAGCTGCTTCACACCCGCTTTCCCATGCCCAGATACATCGACACTGAGCACGGAGGCAGCCAGGTGGGGCGCCATCACACTCCTTTCCGTCTGTTTTCTTTACAGCCAAGGAAAACACCTTCCAACCTTTTATTCAAGTTTGTCACATGCTTTGCTTAAAAAGGATCAGGATCATTTTTGCTTGTCTGTCTATCTAGGAAAGTGAACTAAGAGAAAGGTGTGCAGAAGAAAGTGTGTTCAAACCCTTTTGTACAATCAAATGATGTGTCTTAATGTTTTCAGGCTCGCTTTCTGCTCTCCAAAGTCAACCCATCTCAGACCCACAATAACATGTACACCTGGGGGCAGGTAAGACCCTCGTCATTTAGTCCTAAATATGGAGACTGTTACCAACCCGGGCCAATCAAATTCAGCGTTGACACGAGTCTCTTCTCTACAGGAGTCTGGCGCTCCCATTCTGACGGACGACGTCAGCCTGCAGGTGTTCATGGATCATCTGAAAAAACTGGCCGTCTCCAGCGCCGCCTAACACGGCTTTGTTTGACTGGTCATCCTCCCCACCCCACCCCCATTATTATTACGGTCACTTTATTTACATTTGCTGCCTGAGATTTCGTAAACCCACCAAGGAACACTTGGTTGGCCATTGTGTCGTGTCAAAGACAGTCGCACAGTTTTTCTGTTGGGAGTCCTCCAATGATCAAAATTTTAATGCGATATGAGGTGATACAGCTACAGGAGACTTGTCTGATTTTTTTTTTTTAAATTTGATCTTTTTTCATGTTCGAGTTAACGGAGGGACATCAACCTGTTATTACTCTGAAGAAGAAGAAAAAACGCGCAGTCAGGCAAAGAGAAAAAGTCACCCCTTGGATTTAGGTGATCAGAGTTCAGGTGAGAGGTTCCACTACATCATGTCCAACACAATGAGATCAGCTTTGTGATAAAATCCCAGATGGATCAGGGACAAAGTGCCAATGGCAGGATTGCAAGAAGACTGGGAGCAGGAAACGTCATTTCCAGATATGGATCGAGACCACAGAGTCATTAGAGTTTTTAAATGGGCTGGATGGATGTCGCACAACAGAGCAACCCTCCATCCTCTACACAAGAAGATAAACTAATCTTATCTCATCGCAGAAATCTTCCTTCAAAATGCCTGGCTGCCATAATCAGAGAAAGGGTAGGGAATGTGACTGCCTGTTTGTATTGTGTTTAATCCTGTGTTTATTTAAAGTCTTAAGAAGATCAGATAGATGGAAGTTATTCATGGCATGTGGCTCACCCACATCTGACAGCAAACTCACAAAAACCCACTTCAACACCTCCAAAAGTTCAAAATCGTCATGTAAAATGTTGGTTTGCTTAAAAAAAGCTGTTTCAAGTCATTTAGGCATCAGGCTGACCCAAAGACTCTGTTCTCTAGCAGCACGTTATTATCCTCATGATGATGTGAGCACCCTGCCCTTCTTTATCTTCTGTTTGCTTCCATTTCTCTTCAAACAGATCACAAACACTAAAAGTCCTGTGACAGGTCGACCAGCATTGCCCTTGTCTTTATTCTCCTGTTTGTAATTAAACTGTGCTGTGGAGAGTTCCCGTCTCTCTGCTATAGAGAACAGGTTTGCATATTATAAATCCTCATTTGCATCCTCAGATGTTTCGATTAGATGTTTTTTTTTGCCGGGGATAGTGTGGTGTGTGTAGCAGGTCCCCTTCTTACTGCAGTATATCTACATGGTAACTGATGCTGGAAACATGAGCTAATCCATCCGTTAAGAGGTTAAATGCACTCTCCCTGTGACCATTAAAAACAAATAAGAGACAATCCCCGAAGACAGTCTCTGTGAATATGTTTTCTTGCTGTCTTCATCAGAAGTCAGTCCTTATGCCTAAGACAGAGATCAAAGGCGCTTCATGAAGTCTTAAGGACTTTCAACTAACATGAATCATTTTAGCCAAAGCGCTGAACTTAAGCTCCCTCAGACATTGTTCGATTTTATGGCATGAAAAAAAACATTCCGGGCATCCCAAAGGCCGAAGTAGAGAGCATTTGAGACGGCTTGGACGCGGTTTTCATTCAAATCACTTCTGCTTTATTTATATAGCTTAAAATCTCAGCAAATATCGTCTCTGGGCGTACAGTCTACTTCGTCCCAATTCATTTGAAAACCATCGTAATCAAACTGGATCAAAGATTTTAGAGGCTTCCTCGCAGAAAGTCTTTTTCAACGTAACCGTTTACACACATGGACCCACGCACCACTACAAGGACTCCGACCTCCCGAGCCCCAAACTTCCTGCCATTCTTCTGTCAGTTCCTTCAGGAAACAGGAAACATCTGAGTCACCGTGACAACCATTTACAGTCATTGTTTTGCCACTTTTTGTGAAGATACAATAGAGCGTAGAATGATTGTATATCCGACTGAGGGTTGAACTCCGTGAATGCAGAGACCGGTGGCTTTAGACTGTCTGTAGAAGACAATCTAAGGCTCCTTCAGAAGAACTCAGCTCCATGAGGTTCATTCCATGGACACAGAAATAGGGTGTGATAGAGAAAGAGCTGTGCAATTAACAACTGTTAATGCTTTGGAGAAGCTCGTCAGCATTGGGGGGTTCGGTATTAGTGTGGATAATGCGACTATACTAAAAAATGAGACGATACGCTTCAAGTGAAGGCATTAGCATCCTCAGGCTTTGATTATGTTTCATGAATCTTTCAGATTTGACAGGACCTAAAGTCTCGGGGTACTGTTTTTTTAGGCCAATAATGATAACGAAATAAACTTTCTCAGAAATGTCCAATTATCCACTGCGGTTCGAGATCAACATCTTGGGGGTTTTAATCTTTGAGCTGCAAGGGTCTCTCTTGAGGAAACCAGCTGGCTGTATCAAGATCGGACACATTTCCTCTCATGCAGGGGGAAGACCGGGGGGGGGGGGGGGGGGGGGGGGGGGGTGTGAAGGGGGAGTCAGGGGGTGAGGCCAAAAGAACAGGATTACCGCGGAGAGAGAGAAGGAATTAGGTTAAATGAATAGCAAGAAAGAAAGCGGGATAAAGGAAGGACAAAGCAGAGGATAGTCTACGGTCTGCACTGCAAAGTAGGAAGAAGGAAGGAACATCATAAAGTGTGGAGACACGGGAGACAGCCAAAGGAGGCACACGAAGGTGCCCAAGCAAGAGGAACTGACTGAAGTCGGACAGATTGGAAACGGTAAGAAAAAAATGTTGATTTACATTTAAATCTTCAATGGGTGTAATGGGCCACAAAAGCCGCTATCGTCATAAGATCGCCGTCAATCACTTCCATAGATAAACACCAGCCCCGAGGACGTGATTGACTATGTCTCACTCAGACTCACAAGCCGGATATAATGTTAGAATAAAAGACTTCAAAATCAGAAGGAAGTGGCTCATTTGAAATAGTTATTTTCTAAAAAAAAATACTTAGGGCCTTTGGCAGGGCTCAGCACGTCAGAGCCTGTGTGGGTTCAGTAATGGTCCTTCAGTGCTCGGTTAAATATGACGCACTTTGCCCTTTTTTCAATCACTGCAACAGGATGAATATAATGGACATGTATGATTAAAACAAATAGAGTACGTTCATCCGCCCTATTTTTACAGTACAGCCTGTTTTGGAACATGGAATAATTTACTTACAGACTGTTGGTCTCTCCAGGATTTGCCCTCTTCTAATTCAATATCAGCAACAAAAAGCAAAAGTCCAATGGAAAATCTAAATTTTCTCTTTCCAAATGAGGAAATAGTACGTTAATTGAGTGCTAGTTCCTTTTCTCTCATTTAATTTTTGAGAACTAACAGCCCCTTTGTGCTATTTTGACAGTCTTATCATCACAGAAGAAATGGAGTCTAGGCTCTGCTGCTGGTGGACCTCTCTTTGGATTGCCAACTTATGGCTGGGCTATGTCACAGCTCATCAATACACCCTCAGCCAAAAGAGGACCACCTTTAATGAGGCCATGAATGAGTGCTCCCCTGGCACCCTCGCAACCGTCATCACCAAGCATGAAGTCCAACAAATACTCGAGCTGATCAACAACTCCGTGTCACCTCAGGAAGAGTTTATTGCCTGGATCGGGTTGAGGAGGGATAAGAAGGACTGTGTTGTATCCTCAGAGCCACTACGAGGATATAAGTGGATAGCCAACAGCAGCCAGGAGACACAAGTAAGCATGTGGTTGGACGAGCCAAAGCTCACCTGCACAGAGCTGAGATGCGCGGCAATAAAGTGGCGCTTAGTCCAATCCGAGGTGGAGCTGGGACTGGTCCCTGCTGGCTGTAAAAACACGCACAGGTTCATCTGCAAACTGAGTGGTGCAGTGACAGAAAGGTCGCGTAACGGCGAGCAAACCACCCGGGCAACCGCTGCGACGGAGCCAGAACTTAAGCGGACCACCCCAGGAACGAAGATCGCAATGTCCAGTCCTTACCCAGTTACGCCACGACCCAAAATACTGACCCCAGAACCAGAGGGCCAGCCCGGCGCTGGGTCGGGAACAGCCCTGGACCTGTGTCAGCATCCCGGCATCTCCGGGAATCGCGCCCTTAGCCTGGACCCCAGGAACGTAAGCAAGATCCGGGTTGAGTGCTGGTCCTCCATCCAGCTGGATTTGTTCTGCGCCGGTCGACCGGGCGAGTGGCGGATGCTGGACGGCTCCCCGGCCAACCTCAGCAGCATCTGTCTGGAGTGTGACCCCGGCTTAGAGAAGAACGCTTCCGGCTACTGCGTGGACGTCGACGAGTGCCGCGGCAGCAACCCCTGTCGGTACACCTGCCTGAACACGGAGGGTTCCTACAGGTGCCTCTGCGCTGAGCACCATGGCAACGAGACCTGCCACGACGCAGTCACAAAGCAGGGCGCCTTTCCCCTCACCACCATCCTCATCCCTGCTGTGGTGGGTGCCGTGGTGCTGCTGGTGCTCATCATAGTCCTGGTGATTTGCTGCTTGAGGAGGAAGTCCAAAAAACGGGCCAAACTGGAAAGTTAGATAACAATGAGGAGTCAAAGGGGCAAGGATTTAGAAAGGGACAATCAGAAGGACCATGAGGCAGATGCAACCACGTTCGAAAAGCTGTGGTAGGGACTTTTACATCCTGTTGTCGGTCACCAATTCAAGAAAAATGTTGTTGTTCGGATTGAAGATCTCCAAATGACATTTTCGCGAAATGGGAGAAACATTCGCAACGGAGAGTAAATTCAATCGGTTCTCAAAAACAGAACACAGTCAGCTTAAACAACCAGTGTTCAGGTTTTGTGTTTGGTCAGTCCAGGCACTTCCTGTCCTATAATACCAGTGTTTTCCACATTCCACGTGTTTCTATCAGATTTCTTATCTTGTGTCGACCTAATAGTGTACTACAAGGAGTTTGCATGTTTTCCCCATATACATGTGGGTTCTTTCTGGGTACTTACGCTTCCTCCCACAGTCCAAAAACATGCATGTTCGCTTAATTGGCAACTCTAGATTGACATTAGGCGTGAATGGGAGCATGTATGTGTTTAATTAGTCTCTGCGTGGCCCTGTGATGGACTGCCCACCTGTCCAGGGTGTTTCCTGCCCAGTTCCAGCACACCTGATTCCGATAATGGATCAGCTCTGCAGGAGAATTAAAACAACATTTAAACATGCAGGACTGTGGGTCCTTAAGACCAGGGCTGAGAAACATTAGTGTAAGACATTTCAGTTCGTTAAAAAATCCGTCACAATACTTTGTCTGACAGACACACAACGTCTTGTCCCCGCCTCTAGAATAACTGCAGGTGTGTTGATTTCTACTTTTTTCTTCGTAAACATTACAGATAGACTCAGAGATACTGATCAGCTGATGTGTTCTAAGTGCTATTTTTGATTAATGTGTTGGTGACTGAACAAATAAAATCATGTAACCATTGCTGTTTCACCGCTTGGAGTTTTCTGGGATCAGGACTTCATGTCTAATTTGTTTTTCTCATTTCTGGTTCGAAATTTTATTTCAAAAGAGTCAATCACTAATTAGGATTAATTCGGGTATATAACTCAACTCAGTGACCTGAATTAATAATCCTTTAATTCTTTGATCCAGGGTCGATACACATAGTAGTCGTCTAGGCCGAAGTGTCCAAACCAAAAACAGTGGCAAAGATTATTCCAAAAAAAACAAGCTGGGTTAGAAAATGACTGGAAGACAAAGCTTCCTGGGGAGAAAATGGCCAAACTGGATAAGGTTAGGGAGTGGCAAAGGGTTAATTAAAGGAGGAAATCTTAGGACCTGAAGATGTCTGGAATGAAACAGGAAATTAGCGCACAAAAATAAAACAGGAAGTTAAATTCAAAGCAAACGAGATAAAATAGAAAACACAAAACCGGATACAAAAGGGAGACACATTTCATCAGCAGAGCTGCACACGACTGATATTGTGAATAAGTACTTTTGAAATCATGGTTTTGTTACTCGTATTTTGTCATTTTTTTGATTAAGTGTAATTTAGACTTATAAACCGGTTGGTTTGCAACACCAGAGATCTGCACACCCAGCTAAAAACTCACAGTGCATGAATCCATTGTGGTTGAATGTTTTTATTTTCAATGAGAGACTAAAGTCTTTTCCTGAGGAGACAAGAAATAGTTTTATTAGAACATAACATTTCAAAGTGAGAACACCTTAACAGCACAGAGCGGTCAGTGCTTCGTACCAAGCTGCTCTGACCATACAGGAAGTTGCTTTACAATTCGTATTCTTTCTTGTGGTGGAGAGAAAGGACAGTTATTGTTCTGACCCAGTTACCTACTGGATGGGGAGGGATTTCTGACCTCAGAATACCAGAATATCTCCAGTCTCAAATGTTAAAATTAAGATATTATAAGATATGATGACCTTAGAGCTTGAACTAACAGTCACATTTTAAATAAGGCCACTTGAAACTGAAAACTTTATGAGGAGCATCAACCATAGGTTGGTCACAGGGAGAGTTTAGAACACAGGAATCTTAGAGATAAAGTGTCTATGGGCAACGTTGTCAGCAATCATGGAAATTAAGCTCAACACTCATAGCCAGAGTGCCAATCAGAGCTATCGGTCAGTGGGTGTGCAGATGGAGGGGTGTGATTACTTTTTCAAACAATCTGATGATAGACCAACTTATCTTCCTGGAGATATGTCTACCTACATGGAGAACCATAAAGTTATGGAACCATACGGAGGAGTATTCTTAGGAATGAAAGTGCATTTGAGTCACCCAATAGAACGACAGCCCCCCCCCGCACTCAGCCAACATGTCCAAAGCCATTCCGTTAGACCATCCCAAAGATAGATCCAGTTGCCAATCGTTCAGCAAAGCCCTCAATTCCACCATTTCGGCAAATCTTTGTTGGTTAGAGAAAAGGTCATTCATCCTGTCAACATCTTTTTATTGATCGTGGGCCACAAGAAAATTGAGTAAAATTCTACTGCCATTTTGTATCTAGCTCTGTGTTCATTTGGGACTCTGAGGAATTCCAATAGCAGAAATCTGTACAATAAGAACTGCCTGGAACGGTAGTCCTTCTCTGTTTACCGAAGGAGGACGCAGAAGAAGGATCAATGCCGTCCTTAACTGCAGACAACAGACAATTTCCTGTTTTATTTTGAAATGACAACTCTCCTCTCGTTCCAGCTCACTTGCCCTTTCTCTTGTGCCAATGGTCTTTCTTCCCTGATTCCTGACTGGGTCTTCCTGTTCCTTGTCTCCCCACTTGTGTATTTATGGTCTGTGTCGTCCCTTGTCTTGTGCCAGAACCTTGTCAGCATCATTGTCACATCCTTCCAGGTTGCTAACGTTGCTAAAACCCTGCTGTACACAATTGGAAAAACATCATAACAGCATGCAACAGACTACATCGCAATAATTTAGACTTATCTCACAGTATTAAATGATCGATATGCAAGCAGGATTTTTGTTTTTTTATTCAGATTTTATTAAAGGGCCAGAAAATACTTAAAAAAATTAAAAAATACTATTTTTTTCTTGTTGTTAAGGAAAGGGTTACATACAGCAGCCTTAAACCTTTATGCTACACATCCTATCAACAAAGAAAGTTTGATCATAACCAACATGGCGGTGTATTTTAATAACCATCACCACTCCTCTCCACATCACCCTGTCATCTGGAAAAACCTGGGACAAACATTAAGAACTGTGTGGTGAGAGTCTCCTCTCTCAGGTACCCTGGTCAGACACTCCTCAGCCTGCACCCAGACAGGAGTTAAAAAAGTAGACCAAACTGCCTTAAAAAAGCCATTCTACCCATGGGCTAGACCGACTCTACAATACGAAATATGTCTGAACTATACATTTCTGGTGCTGCGCGCACATACAGATACACTTCTGTACGTATTCTTTTCTCATTTACAGGTGTGATATCTTTTATCTTTTATCTTTTAAAGTCTTACTGTCTCAGAAAAATGGTGACACTTTGACCAATTAAGGAAAAATGTCCTCAAAGTGTGGTTGGGTCTTAAACAAAAGTCTGTGGTTTAGAAGGAACATTGAAAATGAACTGGCATTTTTCGAAAAAGAAGTCAAGCGGCAGAAATGTTTAGCCTATGGAAAGCTGTGAACATTCTCGTGCTTGGCTTGGCTTGTTTGATAGCTTGGCTCTTCAGTCGTTTTAATGAAGCTGGGATGTTGTAATTCACTCTCCACTGGGCATTCCAGCAATTATCCTACTTCCAGAACACCAGACAGTACCATTTTCCAGGAATGCTCGTTTCTCTGGGTGGAGTAGATACAGATAATTTGTCTGTTTAAAATTCTATGCCTTTCAATCTTCACAGGGCACCAAAGATAATCACATTTTAACTCCTCCTCATCAGACTTTTTTTTTTTGAGCTTGTATTTGCTACTCTTCTATTTTATCTTAAAACTTCAATGAAATCTTTAAGAATCTACCAGTCACATCTTTGGAAAATTACAAAATCACAACAATCTAATGTGCAGTATTGGTCCTTACAGAGTCAATCATGAGCGTACTTTCATGCTTATTGCCAAAGTGACAATCTCCACAAATGTATTGGGAAACAAGTTTAAACCTCCATTTCTTTTTAGCACTGTAGCCAAGTTGACACATTGATTGGAAAATGTATTCCTTCAGTAGCAATTTTTCTCATGAACTCTGAACAGATATGGTGGTGACTACAAATTACTTCAAAGAAATAGGAGGATCATCCTCCTTGTTCTTGTTGGAGATCAGATGGTGGTGTAAACTGGAGGAATCACCACACAGCCCTGGAAGGCACCAGTGTTCAGGAGTGTGAGGAGGACAGGTGATTATCCACTCAAACCACATGCGATTTGGTGGTCAAGGAGCTGTAGACCCACCTGCACAAGTAGGAGGTGTGTATGAGGTACTTAGGGACCACTCTGGAAGGGATTATGGCGTTGAACCCTCAACTAAAGTCCCCAAACAGAAGTTGCGTGTAATTCCCCCTGCCGATGGTCCAGGTGAGCCAGACTGTGAAGCAGGTGATCAATGTGTGGATCTGTTGGTCCGGTATGCATACTGTAGGGTGTCTAGGGACTACCTCCCTGGAGGGAGAATCTGATGAAGTTCTTGGCAATTATTTCGACAAATTTCATCCCCACAAAGATAAGAGAAGTGGGAAGTCAGAGCAGTGTAGCATGGAGGAACGTTGGATTAGATTTTTGATAGGGGCAACATATTGCCCGTGCATGGCCAACTCCCCTGAAGCAACAACTCTAGGTAAACGTCCATTATGTTCAGGGACTGAAACTGTCAGGCTGTAAGGGTAGTCTTTCACAAGCAAGTATTAGGAAGCTCAGGGAGAACATTAAAGTGAAAGTAAGGAGGACGCTTATGATGGGGAGATGGAGGTAGATTTAGGACGAAAGCTTGTTTTTCCAGAAGAAATAGCCTATACAGGTCAAAGTCCTGATCCGCCCTTGTGGTCTAGGAGTAGAATGAGCTTCTGTTTTATAGAGCTGACTGTTTTTTGGGAAGACTTAGAAGAA